TTTGTTGAAATGTCGAAAAAATGACTTTTTATTTTGTCTATTTGTACACTACAGCATTTAAGTGCGTCCTCCACCAATAAATTTAATGTATGAGCAAAATAATTTAAATGTTTCTATTCCAAAACATCTCTAATAGCTTTGACCATATTTGAGACATTATCAGTTACTGCAAAATTTACTTTTCGTTTATCAGTTTTCACTGATTAATAATTTCACTAATTTCAAAAGCGATGAACTCTCAGTAACTCTCAGTTACTCTAGATGTCCAGAGGTCAGTAGTAATACAGATATTTTCTACTTCTTTAACAACTTGTGCTCTAATAATTTGCTCAGTTCTGATATAACATTCCTGAAGTAATGAACCCGACAAAGTTTTTCTTGTTGGCAGTTTATATCTAGAAACCTTGCAAACTTTTTAAAAGCTTGTTCTACAACTATGGAAAACGGATGAAACAAGTCTTTGCATAGGTTTAGTAAATCCATATCTATTCGTTTCTTTTGTTCTAAACTAATCTTTTTATTAATGGAAGTATCCATCACCTTTTGATGCTTGGGTGGTGGTGGCAGTATGTCAATAGTTGTAGTAGAAGTAGTCCAAACGGGCAGAAATGCATCAGACGTTTCAATCATTGCAATATTCAGAAAGTGGAGCATAAGAGCTGCATCTGCTACAAATGTGCATTTTTTGAAAATAAAATTATTATTCTTAAGTCCGTGTCAGACGGTCAAATATTTGTAACGTAAGTATTTTCCTGAAAGAGATATTAGCAGATGGGTCTCTTTTGTATAAAAAATATTTGTGATATCATTATAAGTATTGAAAATAAAAGGACATATACCAAAGAAATAAAGATTTTAATCAATGTTTTTGTCATTACTTTATGTAGATTTTAGTACAATTATTACAAAAAAAAAGATGACAATGTCAGGCTACCAAAAAAAAAAACAAAAGTTAGTTGTAAAGCTAAATAAGTCTCAGAAGGAGATATTAAAGTCTGTCATAAAAATATGATAATACATTTGGTATGGAACATATTGTTTATCCTCAGAAACACAATTTTCAACATAATTTCGGTGTAAAGCAGCAATGGTAAGACTGCCTTCTATATATTCACGTTTAGAACGAGATCTACAGTAATGGCTCTCGATTCTCGGAATGGAGTTAATATGATTCCTGACGTCGTCCTTTAGAGATGGATTAATCTGGTGATGATTATTGTGTCTTCCTCTAAGGTCTTCATCCTGAATACCTTTGACAGTACAGTTGTTCTTTCTCACAACAGTTCTGATGGTTTTCTCGGAAATAGCTAGGGTATTCATAAAGAATATTTTGCATAATCTCTTACGTCCAGTACCTAAAGGCAAATAGTATGCGTTGTTAAAATTTTTGCGAGTACTGTCAACGCGTATATAACAATAATTTGGTACAATTTCAGCCATATTGGAGTAAATAAATTGTCTTTGTACTTTTAAATTGGCAGTTTTCCCAAAACTCATTAAAAATTGTTAGTCTTTCTTGGGCTGTAAATTTTGTAAAACATTGTAACTTACACTTATCAGCACAAACCGGTCCCATTTTTTTTCTTCAATCTTTTCTTAGATTTTGACAAGGATGTATATGCCTTACCACTATTTCTTAATAACTTGGTAACGTTTCTTTTCCATAGATTTGGATTTGCCTACCTTTTGCGACCTTTTTTTTTTCATTGTTTTCATTTTCAGATGTATCGACACTACTTGATCGTTGAAGACCTCAGTATTGGTAGGCAGTATATCAACATTGGGTGGTTGAACATCTAATGATATAGACTGGATGTTGACAGGGGAACATTCTACAGTCAATTTATTAGTATGTACAATTTTTTTGATTTTGCTATTAAAACCTGAAGTTCCAGGTTGTGAAAATAATTGTTGCTCTTCAGTTAAATGCCTTAAATAAACATTAACATTTTCATCCGAATAAGTGTGACTCTTTAGTGAATCGTTCTTGATTGGAAAGTCGGGATCCTCAACACTGTCGTCTGAAGAGAAATCAGCCCTGGAGCTGCTTGAAAACGAAGACGAATTACTTGAAGACGAAGACGAGCTCCTTGAAGATGAAGACGCAGAGTCGCTGTCATATTCAGTTCCCTGAACTATTACCTTTGGCCTGATGTCTAGGGTATTAGCTTGGTAGTTTGTACCATCGTCACTAAAAAGATTTAAATTGTGTTAGCTACCAGGTATGGCATTAATGTATGGTTTTGTTAAATCGTAAAGTAGTGGATCAACATTTTGTGGTTGGGTTTCTAAGTTTACTAACATAGGCAGAGTGTCATAAGTGTTGGCTTGCTCCTTGAATCCGATTTCTTGAATTTTCTCAGGTTTATTAGTACTGGTTTTACACCCAACCATGTCGAGGATTCTATGCACTCTTCTACTCATTCTGCAACAAATAAATTGTTGATGTACAATTAACAATATCAGATTTCTCTTTTTATTAGAATTGCACAAGTAAAATATTTTGGTTTTATATAAATACATAAATATAGACTTCAGATATCAGAGCTGGGAACAAATTAATTACAATTAAAAATTATGTACTTTACTTAAAAGTAAAAGTAATTTATTTCCCTATACAACTGTGATGTGATCGTTATACATATTTTCTTTTTCGAGATAAGAATGTGATTACTTTTCACTATGGTGTTACGAAGCCTAAACAAAATTAAAATAAAAGACAATCAGTCCCATTAATAATAACTTGATATCCACGGGAAGCGACTCAAAGAGGATATTTTGTTTACGTACGATAAATTCAAGTACCTAAATGATTGCTTGTTATTTACATTGAACTAATTTGCGGAGTAGCAAAATACATATTCATATCATACAATGTCCAAAACAAAATACACGGTATTTTTTACGCTCTCAATTAAAATTGGAAATAAACACGTTGTGTAATATGATATTCAAACTTCTGAATTATATTAAAATAAGATGTTAGACTATCATAATGAATGCAATATACAAATAAATGAAAAAAACTGCATTTTACTTTATAATAACATTTTACTGTCATAAAAAATGCAAAAGAGTCGTACCTATCACAGTATATGGCCCTTGTTTAACTTAAATGATATAACAGCTCCGAGAATATCATAAGCAAAATGAATATATTCCCTAATACATCCTTTTTGATTAAGAAATAAAAATATGTATATGCCAATATTTTGTATTAAATGGCCGTATTTCATTACACATCCCTTTTGTTTAAGAAATAATAATATACTTACGTGAATCTTCTGTGCAAAACGGACGTACTCGAAATGTGGCACTTTTGTTTATAAAAACGATAACAACGACTAGGGTTTTTTGAAATGTGGCTGTTTAACACAAAAAAAACGTGCGATCACTTCGACTGTCAGGACGCAACTAAAAAACTGGCGGTTTTGTCCATATTTGTTCTCTCAAATATAAAAATGCAAAAAGGGCGCTAGTGTCATTTCGGTATTAAACAACGTAAAATATGTAGGGGTTTCAGTGGTATATCAAAATATGACTGCTTAACGTTAGATTTTTTGAATAAACGCTATTTTCGATTTTTTTGATTTATGGCCCTTTTGTATTGAAGTAGCGACATGCTGTCAATTTCTTGGTTTGGTCAAACTAGTTTGATCAAATATTTGACCGTCTGACACGGACTTTATACTAGGTCAATAATTTTGACTAAGAAAAAGACTTCTTAATTGAATATTTACTATAAACAAATTCTTTGACGACCTATCAATAAAGATTTGAAATCTAAAATGCAGATCAATCGGAAATCGAAACTCGTTCATTAATCAGAATATCTAGGTATTTTATTTTCAACGTCAACAGATCGTCCAACTGTCCACCCTCCCGAAAGAGTCGCAGTTATTTTTAGTTTTGTAGTAGTCTCTCAGATCAACTAATGCTCCTGGTCGACGTAAAGTGTTACAGTGATGGAAAAACCATCGCCATGTATATCCTAAATTAACCACTTTATTCATAAAATATAACATATGTTCCTTGTGAACACATGTTCAAAATCTGGTTTAATTTTAAATATAACGTTGTCGTTAATGCAAAATATCATATATTAAAAAATGCACTTTTCAGGAGAAAAAAACTGAATAATATTTACTGTGTGAGTAGTGTTCCAAATTAGAAGATATACTTAAAAACAAAGGACAATACATATGTATATCTTCTAATTTGGAGAAAAACACTACTCACACAGTAAATATTATTCAGTTTTTTTTGTCTCCTGAAAAGTGCATTTTTCAAAGTGCAAGAAAATCTTATGTTTTTAAATGTCAATTTGGACGATTCGCGATTTAATAATAATGTGTAATGTAAATGTAAGTACTATTTACTATTTGTATTATTTAATTTTTTTTTCAAGCTATAATAAATATATCCTTCGTTAGTTTCTTTCACTTCAATACCTATACACATAAACGATAATAGTCAATATGTTTGTTTATGTACTCGCTTATTTGAAACTACTGTTAAACCATCAACTAGTTACTTGTTTACGAAAAACGTTTCAGTTTCATTAACGATAAAAACGTCAACGACCCACTTCTAGTTCCTTAGGTATAAGCTGGATCGGAACACGATCGGAAGTAATCGTCTCACTAATGGACGTCTATGAGAAATGTGGAGGGGAGACCAAGGGGAAATATGATTGTTATCTTCTTCTATTCGCTGAAAATATGATTTTATATCTGTGTTAGATATCCTGTTAAATTTTACTATACCGACCATAAACTTTTACCTATACTATAATCTATTACACACAATAAAATATATTTTATTATTGACATTTTAATAGTTTACTTAGTTTGTTTCAATTATAAAGATAATAAGATATATGGGATATTCCATAAAGTTGACCCCAACACAGGTTCTTGCGTTCTACTTTATTTTTAAATGTTGACCTGTTTAAAACAAACGGATTGAGTTAATAATTTGTTCGTTATTATATTTTTCAGAGTATTTACTTTCATACGTCATCGATGGCAAAGCACTCAGTTTGCAACCAAGAGGTTTGTTAAATCAGAGCAACTATTGCTACATCAATTCAATACTACAAGCTCTGATTGCATGCCCGCCTTTGTACAATTTGCTCATAGGACTTGCACAAAACATCTCGTCCAATGAGAAGAGGAAGCCCACGCCAGTCATCGACGGAATGTGTCGTTTCGTCAAAGAATTCAAACATTTACCTCCAAACGTGAGAGTCAAGGACAACAAAAAGGCTGATAAGAACGCGAAAAAGGACCTGAACGTCATGATAAACACTGATATACCATTCGAGCCCACTTGGATATACAAAATGTTGAATGGGATTCGAACTGATCTCATCGAAGGCAGACAAGAGGATGCTGAAGAGTTCCTAGGATTCTTGTTGAACGGTTTAAATGATGAAATGCTAGAGGTACGTTCTAAAACTTGTTGTAGATAACATGAAGCAGTAATTTGTTTCCTTTTTTGCTGATTTGTTATTTAATATTGATTCTAACTATTATTTTAAATCTTTCAATGATTCTAGTTGATTAAACTCGTGAAAAGTGACTTTGATGAACCGCTAGAAGCTCCAACACAAGTTGAAGATGATGCCGACAAAGAATGGAAGGTGAGTGTTAAAAGTTATTGCCAATTTGCTCCAATTGTGTAACTTTCTGGCTCAGGTTTTAATGTTTACGACTACTTACTGTCTTTTTAACGAAACTCTGTAAAAGAGAAGGTTTTCTTCGACGCGCTGTTTTCACTCAGTTTTTTTAAGACGTGAATTTAGAGTACTGCTTTTGATAACATTCAGTGCTTTTATGGCCATTTGTCTTGTATTTATTAAGGTATTGAGGAAGGATCTTAAAAACACTCCTGTCAGTGAAGGATACAATGCGATATTAGTGTTGACGGATCCTCTGTATGATGAATGTTGATAAACCAGTACGTGATCGTGCCATCCGTACAAAAAACGGCTAGCCATCCCGCCATCAGTAATGGTCATGACTTCGGTATTTTTTTATATTGTTGCCAGTTCCTGAGAAGTCAAAAGATCTGTGATTATGTTGTGGTGTAAAAAGCGGGAAATCGTGTACCTGAGTTAGAAGAATTCAGTTACTAATTCTGAACGTATTTAGAAAAAAAGGCGGATGAGAAAAACCAGAAATATCAATAGATTCATCACACTGTAAAGCTAAGAATGACGATATTTGAATTCTTGAAATATCTTCAACTAGGTTCACCACTGTGGGTGTACTCACCTACAGTGTGTTCACCTAGTGTACCACTAGGTTCGAGTATTATTTTTTTTATTTCTCCAATTTTCTTGGAAGAACTCTGGTGATGGACCAGAAAAATTTGGATGGGTCATTTCCAGGCGGCGTTTTAATTTCGCTTATAATGCACTGTAATTGTATTAAATTATGATTGACTGACTAGCTTGTGTCATATTTTTTGTCAGTCGTTTATCCTCTGTGGTTCAGCCGTAGGCCGAGTTCGCATTACCCATCGTCGCGCAGACCTTTATTGCTTGGCCTATTTGTAGTGCTACAGATGCGTGTCAGAAGTGCTGAAATGTACTATCTTATATTAAGTGGTTTTGAATTTCTTTATCATTTTCTTTTGCCTTGAGAACTAAACTTATATTTTTGTCTAGGTGATGGGACCAAAGAATAAAGGCAGCATAACACGAAGAACTGACTTTGACAGAACCCCCATCAGTGACATTTTCGGGGGATTATTGAAGTCTAGAATTCAAAGAACCGGCGACCTTAGTACTGAGAATATTCAACCGTTCCTGACATTACAGTTGAACATAGAGGTGAGTTTTGAACATAAGAAAAGGCATACGATTTATAAAATGTGTTCCTTCTCTTTTTAGAAAGTGAAAACGGTGAGGGAAGCTCTGGAGATGCTCGTCAATAGACACCAGCTGGAAGGACTGACTTCATCCAAAACCAACGAGGAAGTAGAGGCCTGGCAGCAGGTTTTACTAGACGAGCTACCAGTCATTTTGATTTTGCACTTGAAATGTTTCGACTATAAGCAAGACGGCTGCACAAAGATCGTTAAGGCTTTGGAATTCCCCGTCGATTTGAAAATAGATCAGAGTAAGTACATTTTTTTTTTATTACGCTAAGTACATAAATTACTAGCTATGTACTATGATATTTTACTCGCAATTCTTATTAAGTTGGAGCACTTGGTAATATGCACTAGTTTAATTAAAAAGTATACTTATTTATAATATTGTAAGTATACTATAAACGAGCAGTTGGACTTGGTAAGTTTATATATTTTCACCAAAAGTGACCAGAAGTAGAACCGGAAATTGATATTTGAACTCTTCATGTAACTGTATCGATTGATATACGATTTCATTAATTTTGAGTAATTTTGCCAAACTTTCCACTTTCTAACCGGAAATGATATAAAGACTGGAAGTTTATATTTGTTTTTGTGAATAATATGTTGCTTATACTATATCGACGACTTTAGAACAGTACTTCCAGTTTCAACTGTAAACTGGAACTCCCTGGACAAATTTCTCATCTTTAATACCATCTTTGAGTTACAAGCTTTCATTCGACATCTCACTTTTCATTCTATCTGTTCTGATACGGAAAGTTGTGTTTACGGAGGGACAGGCAGGCATGAAACCGGAAGTATATATTTGTTCTCGTCTTTGTAAGACGCGTCGAATAATATATCGCTTGTACTATTTTACGCGACTTTACTTACGGTTGCAACTCTGGAACCTGAAGTGTGGCATTAATGTTATCCTTGGGTTATAAATGATATCTAATTTGTCTATCTCTTCTAATAACGGAGGAATTGTTGACCTATATACAGAGATGGATAATTCAAGGTTTTCACATTTTAATGTTGTAGAATGGGTGAAAACAAAATAGCTAAAATTGGAACTCATGCGCACAACATACTCATGCACAATTTCAATACCTTGTTTATTCTCGCTCTCCCTTTCTCTCATGATCTCGTTTCTCTTGGTATACAGAATTAAGCATGGCCGTTAAAATTGAAGTTTGATCAATCTTTTAATTTATTGACCGAATTGTTTTTTTATTATCTCTAGGACAGATCTCTATCAAATTTGGAGGTTACGCTCTAACTGATCCGCTTATCAAAGGCTTTTATTTGACATATACCTTGCACTTGAAAAACGGTTATATTCATTTTATTTGTGTGTGATTATTATTTTTTTAATTGCCGTATTGGCATTTGGCATCAGCCGTATCAACGCCTCAAGATTTCGATTCGCCATCTCTACCGTCTTTTGGATGTGTACTCCGAACCTTAGTCCTTCAGCCAACCAGACTCCCAGATACTTAATCGATTTAACCGATGCAACCTCCACGCCTTCCACTATAAAGCGAATAGAGGATTTTTCCCGGCTCCCTTTGAGAACTAACACCTCAGTTTTCTGAGGCGCTACCTGTAGATCGTTCTCTCTGATCCACCTACTAAGGCGACGCAGGGCTTTGTTAGCAATCTCAGGAAAACCTGCGGGTATATTAGTACCTGCCATGAGGGTCTTCGGCATGAACTCGGTAAAAGGTTCCTCATCTACGAAACCAATAACCCTTTCACGCCTGTCCTTCACCTGAGGAAAGAGTTTCCGTATTAAACGGAGTTTCTCCTCCTCAGAAGGGGGTAGGGTGTCTTTTTCCCCTTCAACTCGGTACACAAAATCTTGAAGCCCTGTCCCCAGATGTCCCTTTCGAGATCCTGAAGTAGGTTACTCCACTTCTTTCTTAGATCTTCTTATCTTATTCTTGTATTCATTCTACATTCGCCTTAATTCATTTATTCTCTATTCCAAATCTCCTGCTTGTACACTTCTTAACCTCTTACACTCCCTTCTTAATCTCATGCAATTTGTCCTCAGATTTTCAAGCTGCTCGTTCCACCTGTATGCTGTTGTACCAGTTTTTCTTTTGTACTTCCCGTTTGATCTTACACAGCCAACTCCTGTGCATCACTCAGGCCCTCAATTAACTCACGCTCATCCTCACATCCCGGACCAATCAAGCCAAAAGCTTCTACAAAAACCTCCTCATTTAAACATCTCTTTAGATTGTTATCCCCATTTTTACGTTTCTGTCTTTTGCTAGCTATTTCAAAACTATTAGTAAAATAAACTTTATTAGTAGACTTCTTCTTATTCTTTAAGTTCCATCTTCTATCGAAGGTTGGAAATCATCATGGCTATGCGGACCCTGTTGACTGCCGCTCTAAATTCTTTTTTTCTATTTTGAGTCCATTCATTTATACACCGTACGTTGCATTTTCTTCTAATGTCTTCATATGGCATCAGTATTGAACAAGTAATGGAAATAAAATACCTGGGAATTACACTGTCTAGCTATGGAGAACTGGATAAGCAAGTGAGAGATCAAAAGTACAAAAAGGAAATAGACTGGCAGGATGTCTTAGTAACACTATATGGCGAAAACAAACACATTAACACTGAATGAAGTCAAGAATTTATAAAGCCAGTGTAAGACCAATAATGACATATACCTGAGAAACAAGATCCGACACATCCACAATGCAAAGGCTACTGGAAACCGTAGAGATAAGAGTACTGAGAGAGATCAAAAGATAAGTGAAGACATTAGAAGAAGATGTAATGTACAGTGTATAAATGAATGGACTCACAATAGAAAAAAAGAATGGAATAACCACATAAGCAGAATTAAGGAGACCTGTGTCGTCAAAATAGCAAGGGCTATCCACCACTACACCAATCGGCAGAAGAAGTATCGGACGGCCGCGCAAACGATGGAGTGACAGACAACCTACCATAGAGGTATTAATCCGCCAATAAACAAGCATAATTGCTTATAAAAACGAAGAAAAAGAAGAATATCAATACAGTTGTTAAGAGGAACCATATTAACCGGCTTCAGTGAATTGTAAATGAGGCATTTAAATAATAAATGGTCAAAGCGTTTCCAACTTGTTTGTATTGCAAATAGAACAAATTTCAGATGATCGAGTATGATATGTTATACCATTATAGCTGAAAGATGGGAACTAAGCACACAACCACATACTCACATACAAAGTCAACTGGTTTCAGGATTTGATTTGAATCGTAAGACATGGTGACACTGAATAGAATCCATAAAGTCAAAACACATTACTTCTACTTCTTCAAGATCATTGAGTAACTTTCTTGAAGCAATAAACTTGATAAGTTGTCTCGACATCAACGTTTGATAAATATATTTTATGTTACTTGGAACATTTTCATGTAAAGTTTGTGGTTCATAGTATGTTATAGTGCATATAGTGACATAAGAATGTCACTATTCTTAATATAAGCCTGTCATTGATAATTTTGCATCAAAACTAACCTTTATTTACTGTTTTTCTTTTTACAGAATTACTGTCTTCAAAGACACAAACCCAGAAAGAAAAGCACTACAAACTGTTCGCTGTGGTTTATCACGACGGTAAAGAAGCCAGCAAGGGGCACTACGTGACAGATGCCTTCCATGTTGGCTACAGCTCTTGGTTGCGGTATGATGACGCCTCAGTGAAGACGGTCCAAGAGGAGCAAGTATTGAAGCCGCAAGGAACTAGAGTTCCGTATTTATTGTTCTATCGACGTAGTGATACCATTAGAGGGAAATAGTGTGCCAGGTTGTTGAGGCCTATAACGCGATTTAGGAATCTTTCGACTCAGATTAGCAACGGTATTAAAAGAGCGGTTGGAGTGAGATGGAACAAAAATAGATGAATTTTTTATAGTTTTTACAGTTTTTGGCATTTATTTCTATACACAAAACTATAATATCGTATATTAACTGATTTTTTCAGTAGTTTGACAGGACATTATGACTGTTTTGCTTTTTCTTGTCCATTATGATACATAAGGATAACTTTGGGGGTAATTAAGGAAAACTAATAAACAAAAAAACTATGTTAACAGGAGCAGCCTATACCCTCCTCAATTTGTTCTAGATTATATTTACAGATGGTTTTTATAAATCCAACTCTTGGAAGCATCTTGATTTTTCCATTTGACTGCAAAATTATCTTTAACATTAGATTTTAAATTTGTTGTTAAAGCTAGTTCTTTCTACCTCTCTCTGGCTAATTGCGGCAGTGCGTTAGAAGGAAGTAAAGACTTCCTTCAAACAGCAATGCAAAGTTTGTCGATTTCACGGCAGGTTATGGCAAACACTTATTTTATAGCGATTTATAGAAATACTTTCATGAGTGGCTATCATATTGATAGCCAAGTAAGCAACTTCGGGTTTTTTATTGTTCATTGTTCAGTATTTTGGTGTAACTACAGGGTGTTCCGAAAAATGTTTACGTATATTGCTTCGATGAATTTTTAAAGTAAAATTTGGGATCTTTGGCACTGTCTTAAGGATAGTTCAGGAAGATATGACAAGAAATCTTTAGAAAAGAGAAGAAAGTGTTGAAGCATAGAAACTCGATTTTATTTTAAAAGCATAATGTACAGAAACAGGGACATACTGTAAAGGAAATAACTATATCTAAAATGTTTCTTCAGTCTTATTTCACACTAAAATTTTGAGTTTTAAAAAATGTTGCCATCAGTTCATATTTTTTTTGTGTTTTTCTAGAATAATTTAATTTTCGAGTCGAAATATTGTTAAAAAGCAGTATACCGTTCGTGTAATCATTCAGTTATGGAATCTTGTAATGTTTTTGAAGATGAACTAGAAATCAGTACATGTATATTTATTAAAAATTTGGAAGTAAACTTTTCGAATCTTTAGTTAATGTTTTTATGCAGTGTGTTCTCTTCAATAGACCCTTATATATAGTTCTACAGCAGCTCCAATAAATTTTCGTTCTTCATATGTGAACTCCTTTATCACACGTGCTGTTTTTTTCATAGCTTTAAAATCAGACATTTTACTTATTTTACGTAACAATTCACACGGTATAAAATCTTGCAAAAAAGATGGATGGTCTAACTTATTTGTTCCAGTACGAACATTTTCACGGACTTGTTTATGTTCTCTGGCATATATTTTAGGTAAATTTTGTTGTGTCAAAATCATCACGCGTTTTTCTCTATTTCATCTCAGCACTTTTCTTTGATTCAAAGCTGAAATGTCATTATGCAATGGATATGATAACTGTTGATGTACAGGTTGGTGAAGAATGAGTGAAATAAACGAACCACCTATTACCTATTTATATTTTTGATTTTTTTTTTGACAGTTTTAATGTTAGTCATGGTTGTGTTTTGGTGTTTTTCGTCAACCTGTCTACTAGTTAGCGATTTTATTTTATTAAATTTGAACTTTATATAAAGTGAGTTTGTACTTGTATATATGAATAGAATGTTAAAAATACTAAATGTTAAGAAAATTTGGATTAAAATAATAAAGTTTTTATTATAAGAAATCTTTTATTAACAAAGGACCTTATTAAAAAAACAATAATGTTAAATAACACAACACGAGGACAAGATAACAACTGCATGAAGAAAACTATGTAATACAAATGTATCCCTAGAAAAAAATATACCAAAAGGCTGGAAAACTTCATTCCTAGCAAAGAAATTCCAAAACAAACAAGAGTTATAGAGGAATGAAATATTAATAGACCAAGGAACTAACGTTTTTGCCATGACACTCTTTGATACAGGTATTTAACGACTTTTTTTTCGAATTTGGTGACAACTATATGTAATAAACATAATATGTAAAATATTAAGGCTGTTTTAGCAGTTAAAGCACACTGCGATTTGGAATGGGTGTATCACTTTTCTACACTGCTTACGTCAGACCATCTTTACTCAGTGGCGCCGGCCGACGGATAGTTTAATGACAACAAATGCATTATTCTCCATTCAAATTAGTTTTGTCGGGAATACCTTTTTAGATTGATTATCGCAGATAATGTTTTAAAAAGAATTATCACATTTTTAATTTATATGTCTTAGTTAAATATAGTATTGAATAAAATTTGTGAAACATGACTGCAAAAAACATCATGGTGTTTATTTATAATAAATTTAAAATAACATAAAAATATTATCAAAAAAATTACAATTTGTTGTCACAAACAAATAAACAATTTCGCAGTTAGCGTGAAAATGATCTCAAGAAGTTATTTATTTGTTAGAGAAAACTGACATTAGCCTAGTAAAAATTAAACAAAAATATTTTATTTATCCATAAAAAATTGGTCGTTTACTGGGACTCATTTCTTATCTTGTCACTTTACTTATCACTAAACTAATATAATACTTAAAAATACGCGTAAACTAAAGAACTTGTAACTTATACCACTAAACTAATAATATATTAGATACATAAACATACCCGTAAACTAAAGAATTTCAATGTTTTCAAAATAACTAAGAATACTGTAAACACTAAGCAAGTTGATGAAGAAAATACAGGAATAAATAACTGAAGATGGATTCTGATTCAAGCGAAAGCGAACTAACTGACCGTACGTTCATGAGATTTGACGTCACGAAGGCGATAACGATGAAACTAAGCGCCAGTGATGAGTAACACGCTTTTCTCGATTATTACTGGACACAGAAAGGTGAAAAAAAAATCAACGATTACAGAAAAAAAACTCTTTCAAGTGATGGGCGTAAAAAGTTTGGTTATAATAGGACGTTAAACAGTAAAATCCCAATTTTTCAACAGATGTTTCAAAATAATAAAACCATCATTTTAAAGGAACATAATTTCGAATAACGTGTCCAAATTTCGAGACATTTTGTCGGTAAATAACAGAGAAAGCACTGTCCCTAGGTTTTGGTGCACCGATAAAACAGCGTTAAATGTCAATTTTACTTTTAAACAATGTAGAAGCAGAGAACTACGAACGCAGAGAAGCGACACTCCTTTGATCTTGCGTGGGCAAGCCGCCAACGAGTGAAAATGACAGGAAAGCACCTTATTTTTTTAATAGTCAGTGGGCATATTACACAATATAAATTCTTAAATAAAATTGAGCATTTATGTTGACTTTCAATAAATATGAAATATTGCACTGAAAAAATAATTACATGCAGGGCCGGCTTTTGTTGACATTCTCAATGGTGTAATTATTTTTGATTTACAAAAGGTTGCAAATACATCGCACAACGCAAAGTAATGGTGAAATATGTTGTGTACTCCGATCCATATATTTGATCTTTGTTATTTATATTTAACGAATTAAACATTGACAGACAACTTTTGTATATAGCAAAAAGTGGATGAGTATTTAGTTTTTTCATAATTTAATGTAGGTAAGTTTGTTTGGTGAAAAAGACAGCAAATATTTGAAGTTATGTTAATGTAAGTTTGTTTATTTGCAATCATGTTTTTATTTTGAAATCTTGTTCTGTTGTAATTTTAATATTTCCCAATTGTGTTTATCGTATTATATTGAAATTTGGAAGGTACTGCGTCATGCACCAATGTTTTTCTTTTATTTTTTTTTTGACAATAAGATTATCTTCAAAATGTAGTTCACAAATCCTATAACTATTATAAAGTATATCCATTTTTAACAATAAATCTTCTCGTCTGCAAGCTTCTATCCACATTTTGGACACTACAAATTTTTAACAGAACAAATTTTAAACAAAGAATTTTTTTGTATTTATAAATAATACTTCATTACTTACAAACTATAAGAGTTGTTTGTGAAAAAGACAGCAAATATTGAAGTATGTTAATGTAAGTTTGTTTATTTGCAATCATGTTTTTATTTTGAAGTCTTGTTCTGTTGTAATTTAAGATTTTCCAATTTTCGATCTAATTATGTTTCCAACAATTTTTAGTTTGAGCATTTAAGGAATTTCTTTGTTTCGTTTAAATAAAATATCTCGTTTATAAAACCTCTATATATATTTTATTTCCTAAAAATACTATATTCGTATGTTGTCTGCGAGCGCTTTCACACCAGTAGGCCAACATCTGTGTTGATTTTTTGACCTGAGCCTTCGGAGACAATAAATTTAATGTGTGTTCGTAGTTCTCTGGTTTTTTATTCTGAACTATCCCTTGGCAAACCAAAAATTTATTTTTTTTATTGCTTCACTTAACGAGAGCTCGGGCGAACACGTCGGTGTCGGCTTACTCAAAGTCAAATTAATACTATTATGTAATAACTAATAATAATTACAAAGCAATAGTAATTACCTGTTATTTATTCTTAGGAAATCTAAATAAACTTATTCCTTTTCCTGTCACAGATGAACATCCGCGAAATGCACAACAATAACCAGAAGACATTTTAAATACTTATAAATTAAACTTTTAACTATAAACTATAACTATAAACTTATATATTTAACTTATATATTTTTAACTATAACTACAAAACTTTTAACTACTAAGTAAATTAGATAAATGGTCAAATGCACTTGTATAGTCGAGAGTTTACCACAGATGCCTATGGGCTATCGTAAGCGACTAAAGTTGAAGAAAACGCACGTGTTTTTGACAGTAAAGCACCTTATTTGGGTCATGCGTATACAGAAAAGAACACGAATTCCGGGCCTCGTGTCGCTTCTCTGTGTTCGTAGTTCTCTGGTAGAAGGTCGGTAAATTATATGAAAAACTAACACAATTTTACTGAAAAAGCATAGAAAATCCTTTAAAATAAGGATGTGTAAAGATATTTTTGTTACAGCGGCGGCCGGCCAGTGAAGTAGGTTAAGGTAAGGTTCACCAAATAAATTATATTACAACAGACAAATATCATTATAATAGATAAATATTATAAGAGACAAATAAATAAAAAATGAGAAACCTAAGAGAGTGGTATAGTTTTCAGCTCAGTAGATCTTTTTAGAGCAGCCGCCAATAAGGCACGGATAGCTGTGATGATAGCCAACCTCTGATAGAAGGAACTACAAGAAGAAAATAAAAAATAAAAGCAACATATCTAAATTCTGAAATCAATTATTTATTCTCTTTTAATTAATCTAAAAATTAAAAAAGATAACTAGCTTTCACGGTTGCCATAGCAACGAGACGTCAGCCTATCCTTAGTGATAGTTGAGAAAATTGGCGAGTGCAGTTCCGCTATAAAATCTTCACCCACTGTTGGATGTGTATTTGGTATTACTATTTTTCGGAAATTTCTCTCGGTGGTAATATTTTGAAATTTGTTCTATTATATAGATATTTTTTATATAGTATAGTATTTATTAGTTTAGTCACAGTATT